TTTTTTTTTTTTTTTCTTTGTTATGTATACTAATGATAAAGATAAAAAAGTGCAATGAAAGAAGGCTTATTAAGTTCTGATTGCTTTATATACATCAATTTCATTGATTCATTAAGTCTCCAGGGCACTCCTTTTAAACTGTCTTTCATCAGTTCAAATTATTCAATTGGATTCGATTAGATCCAATTGCACCCCACAAAATTGGGTGATAAACACAAACGGATCGAGGAGGTAGGAGGGCGAGAAGGGTGACAGAGAGAAAATCAAACAGATGTGACTATACGACAAAAAAAGGAATTATTGAAGCAAAACATTGATACAAAAAGAAACAAGAAAAAAATTCAAAACTTATCAAAGAAAAAAAAAACGCAAAACTTATTTCCAATATTAAATTTAATTCAACAGATACAATTGTAAACCAGATTACTGTACATCATTAAATTTCACATAAATCCACTGCGATTATCTGCTTAGTCCACCATCATTTTTTCTCGATCACCCAACGGTTCTTCTTTTAGATCAATCCGTTGTTTAAGGGCAAACTGTAGAAATGAAAAAAAAACCGTAACCAATACTAATATATAAACATTTAATGTATTAATCAACCACAAATTATAAGTATTATATCTTTCCATAAAGCAACAATTATTGTATAAGCTATAACTAGAAGGCAATCTTTAGTGTAATTTTACTACAAAATTTGTTTATTTTAAACCACAGTTACTAACATTAAAAAAAAAAAAATTTTTTTCTTTTTTTGGTCTCCTTTTGATTCCCATCAATATAGCAACCAAACATAATAACACGAATTTTAGTAATGTTTTTAAATTCTTATACATCTTTTTTGTTTCTTGTCTGTAGAATCTATCTGTCATCCCAAATACATTTATCATCCACAGTTAATCACACAAAAACACTTGTAAAACTCAACAAGTTCATTTGTTTTAGAAGTGCTGTCTAATAAAACAGGGAGGGTTATTAATAACGATTTGGCTTATAAAAATCAGCAGAATGCACCTATGTACCTATTAATAATAAACAAACAGATGACTACAATGAGGAAAGTTTTTCTTTCTTGTATCATCATACCTCTCACAACTCAACCTCCTTCCCACCACAACAATCCCTTCTGTTCTCACCAATGTTCATCCAACAGCAATTCTTTATTCACCTTTTTCCACAAATGATCATCTGTTTCCTGACAACTAACAATAAACGAAACATTGTTTTTGATTGTTTTGCAGTCGGTACTATACAAAGGTAACAAAAAGTGATAAAGCAATTTTTGGAGCTAAAAAAAAGAAAGTTAACGAAAAGACAATAAAGGAATGATTGATGGGAAATAGTTGAAGTTGTAGAAGCTTAAGCCTCCCAGTTTGTGTGTGTGTGTTGATCGATTGCAGGTGTTCTACGTTTCCAACAAAGCACAGATGTTTTGAATTTGTTTGCTTGCTTGTCTGCTATATGTTGTTGTTGTTGCTTCATCAACAAATTACTACTATTTGTCATAAATGTTATGGCAAAACAAAAAAAAAAAGCTCTTTTTGTTCCTGTTTTTTTGCTTGATCTGCTTAGTTTTTATGCCCAAAAAACATAACGACAATAAAATATTCGAAAGAAAAACGTCCCAAAAAAGCGACCTAATCACCTTATATCATCAGTATCTGTATCTGTAAAAACGTTATACCAAGTTGAAATTATTAAGATTTTAGTCTTTACTCGACAGATAATATCTTTAAACAGACTTATTTCTCACTGAGCCACTATTATATGCCCAATCGAACAAAAAATAAGCCCCCCAGCTGAACAAGGGAAGCGGAAAAAGGAAAAGCAGCCCAAAATATTGGAAAACAATTGTCATTTTTATAAACGTTATAGATTACTGTTGTAATCAATGAAGCCTATGCAGATATATGTATGTATATAGACATATGCATCTATATTACACACAGAAACAAATATTGCTATTTGTTAACCAGCAAAAAATTTGAATAACACCTAATTTGATGCTATTATCTGTTCAATAAATTATTTCAAAGTGAAAAAAATAGAAGAAATAAGTAAAACCATAAAATATCACCTGAAATTGGCATTTTCCTTTGGAGATTAATTGCACTTTATTGTCTTTGATCATCGCTGCTGCTCTCACTTCTTTCCATCCCATCCGTGATTCCAGATGTTCTCGAAATACTTCAACAATATTTACCGTCAATGGTAACACCAACGCTCCATCTCTTCGCCTAAACAGCATATTTATGTTTACTGGCTATGTAACTGTTATCTCGCAATAACCTTTTTCGCAGTTCTAATTTATATGCCAAAAAAGTAGATTTAGACAAACTTCTTCGGCAGCAACAAAGGCGTAACAGTGAAAGAAAGAAAAAAGAGTCAAAACAACTTGTAATAAACTTAAAATTGATATTCAACAAAAATACAGCTTCTGCCAAAGCAGTATTCGTATGTAAACTGAATAAATTAAGTGCAGACGTTACAAAAAAACATAGACCCGCTATCTTCAAGAGGCAATAAAATTCAAAAAAAATTCGAATAAAAAGTAGAGAAACGAGAAGAAACCTTTTAATTGAAACAGTGACCGGACCAGAAAGTGTTGATGTCACAGAATAACTTCCCTGATAGTTCATCTCTTCGATCACAATTGACGCTTCGGTAGTATAATGTGCCGGAACGATAACGTTGCTGTCCACTCCCCATGACATAACCTCAGATTTGGTATTCTCGTGGATATTATTAAAGTTCATCTCATGTTTGAAACCGGCTTTTAATTCTGCTATTTCGCCTATAAAAAGACTCACTTTTTTTGCTTCTTTTATGGCTTCTGCCGTCATCTGCAGAGCGAAGTGAACGTTAATCTACGAGATATATGCATGGATATTATTGCTTGCTAAGCACTTCGAAAAAAAGCTCTATCCTTTGAGAAAATAAATGAGCTAAAATATGACATTTTACTTCCCTTGCCCTCACTTCACGACATCCTTTTTAGCTACCCAACCAACAATTCACTTATTCTCATCTCCTATAACCAAAAAATTATCATAATCAACTTTTTGTTTGATGTTTTCTGGAGAAACTACAATTTCCATGCATCTGTTCCATCAAGCATTTCCCTCCCCCCCTTCCCTCCCGCCTGAAACTTAGGCGATAATAGAACATCAAACAACAACAATGTTAATTTGACTACATTTGATGATTTCATTTCCCTTCCGCTCAATCAAACATAAGGTTTTCTGCAAGACGTTTGGTAAGAGTTGTTTAAAGAAGACAAAAGTTTTAATGCCACTTTGTTTCATCATACTTAAACCGTCATTTACATTTACATATTATCCTTTTTTTCCCCTTTTTTGCTGAAGAAAGGTTAGTATAATGTTAGCATGCAAAAACAGAAAATGCTATGAAATCAATCCAGGTATTTATCGACAAAAAAAGAACAAATTGCAGTTTAAAAAATTGCAAAATTTTGACTGAAACTCTAGAGCCCAATTTATTAATTGCAGTCAATTTTTCTCTCTTCTCCTCCCTTATCTTTCCACTTAATTTTTTCAAACATTTATAAACAAAAAAAAAATTTTTTTTCCAATTTCAACAACAACCTTTCTATCTGAAAGACTTTTAAAGTAACAAAGAGGCTTTTTCCTTCCATTTTTTGTTTCTTTGAAAAATATACATAAAACACAAAAACTGAAAAAAAAAACAAAAGTTTTTATTGTTCATCGAACAAAATACACCAATTATTTCCTCAGCAGTTTCAAATTGTTCACCTTCAACATACAACGGCGATTTGGCAAAAATCAAAAAAAAAAAAAGCTTTGATTCTATTATTATTTTCCTTTTTTTTCTTTCTACTAAAACAAAAATTTTTCCCAGTAAACCAAATTTCTTTGTGTAAAAAAACAAGCAAGTTTTTTTCTCAAAACAACAACTTCAGATTCCCATCAAATGAACCAACCATATTTTGCTTTAAAATTTTACGCTGCGGGATGCCTAACGGTTACAGCAATAACAAACAACAACCAACACCATCCAACAATGTCGGCAATAGATAGACAGATAGATGAAACAAACAACTAGACAAATAGATGGATAGATAGATAGGAAATCAGAAGCGAAACAATTAGCTCGTTTCTGGTTAGTTCACCTGTTTTTAGCTCAAAAACTACAAACCCTAATTCCCATACCCCCCTCGTCTCTTCATCCTTTCTTTGACCCAAAAGAATCCAATAATAATAAACAGGATTTTATTTGAACTGTTTTGTGATGCTGCTGTCACTGTTCACTACATTACCTCATGAAGTAAACTATTCCAATTTCCGTTCTTTTATTATTCTCTTCTTGATTCGGTATGCAAAAATGCTACTGCAATGAAAGGTAGTTATTAATAAGGTTAATGCTGGTGGTAACGGTGGCAGTAATGGTGCTGATGAGTTGCTGAAGTGGTAGCAAGTTTAAAAGAAGAAAAAAAAAGAAAGAAGTAAGAGGTTACAAGATGAACTGAAACGTTTTGCTATTCACTGTGGTATTTGTTGGCTATTGATTCAGTGCAATAAGAAGAGTAATAATGACAAATCTTCATAACCTAACTGTGACTAACCATTTTGGACAGCCAAACAATGGCAATCATTGAACTGTCATCGTTGTTTGTCGAACTGAATGACAAAACTTATATGCATATAACTGTTTATGGGTATCAACAATAATGTTCACTTATAGTGCGTATTATATGTATGGTATTTACGGCGGCTAAAGGTACATGTCATGTCATATTTTGGGACACTTTTTTCTCCACTTTCTAATCAAAGCTTTTCGACAAAACGTAATTTTGTTACTTCACTGAAAAATACACTCTCAACATTTCAGCAACTGTACAAACACATAATACACATACACACACACACACACACACAAATAGACACTCCAAAATGCTTTCCACTTAGCCAACAACTTCAAACACCTTTTTTTTTGGTTAGGAAGAGAAGAGATGAAGAAAAATGGAGAAGAGAATAGGAAGGGAGACTGCTTTTTGTACTCGTAAAAATTCAATCAATCAAGTAATTGTCAAGAATTTTTAAATCAATTAAACCAAAAATACCATTAATATTTCACTTTCTTGTGGCTCATAAGATAACTGAAAAAAAAAAACCGACAAGTGCAAAAAGGAATGAAAAGTAAAGTAACTTTTTCCTATTCTTTTCAATAGAATTTGCAATTCGTGTAGCTGATGAAAGAGTAAAGAAGACTTAAATATCCATCAATACAGCCAACAGTAAACCAGTACCACCAAAATCACACCGTCACTGACATCTCCAACAGCAGGGGCAACAGACGAATTATCAGTAACAACAACAGCCTCAAAAAAGGGTCAACCGCATCCTTTATGCGCCAATTTTTTTTTTACTTCTCTTTCCAAAAATTTATCAAACTTTAGGATGATTCATTTAACCCAAGCAATAAATTTTAGGCATGACCAAAACTATTTCTGGTAACGGAAAAGTAAGATACAGCATAAATAACAAAACTAAAATACCAAATATACCCCTGCAAAAAAGAAAAAAAAATTGATGGCCGATCAGTCATCCTCAAAAAAAAAAAAGACATACTACTACAATTATTGAAATGTTTTAAACACGAAGCTTATACTCAGTAAAAGTACTTTTTGTTTCCTTAAACCTTAACATTCATCAGCAATATGCAAAAAGGAAAGGTAAAACCGTAATGCATAATTAAAATAAATGTATTTCACAAACTTACAAGGTGTCTTTAGCGTTAACTCAGCCTCTGTACCAATCATATAACCTTGTTCACGGCATACTGTTGCCAGACTTTCTGTACTTCGTTCAGTCTTAAACGAATATTCTTGTGGTCTGTCGGTGTTATTTGTGTAGACAGATTTAAACAGCGTATAGGGTCGACAACTAGCCGGATTGAAATGTGAATATTGTGGATCGTCATGACGTACTATCAACTTTTTTCGATTCTGAAAAACAAAATAAGAACGATACAGATCTGGTCATTTATGCAACTCCTTTATTCACTGCAGCTGTGATACTTCATCCATTCAGTAACAGTTCCCCCAACGCTTATAACCCTAGTTTAGTGGAAAACCAGAAAAACGATTGTTTCATCTTGTGGTTTTCCAAAAAATTTGTGGTCTCACTGTCCTTCCTTAGAGCCACTAATTTAATGCTTTTTCGAAGCTTTTAATTATCAGAACACTTCAAGATGTTACCAAACCAATTGGCCATCCTCCAAATTATAGAGTAGCCTTTTGAGAAAAAATTTTACTAGAGAAGGTGATGGAGTAACAGAAAGGAATAAAAAAACTAACAAATTAAATTTTATTATCTCATCGAAGCATTAACTCGAGCAAAAAAAAAAACAAAAAAAAGAAATAACGTTTTCTTCCCAAATTTTTCTTTCTTTTTAGTGTTTGTAACTCTTCAGTTTACTTAACTTTTTCTAACTCTTTTTTCTGCTCAACAACAACATTTGGGCTCAATTAATCTCTGCTGTAGACAATACTGAAAAGCTGAAGAGTGTTAACTTTTGATTATTCAGTATATTTAATGGTAACAATTTCATCAGAAACCTCTTTTTGTCTAGCTTTTTTTTTTTCCGCTTTTGCCATTTTCTCCTCCTATTTGCTGCTTTTTTTGAGCCAATGAAAAAACCAAAAAAAAAAGTATTGATTTTAACATTTTTAAACAAAATAATGTGTGTGCTTGCTAATAAATAAGAAATATGGCTTCACAAAACTTGCGCCCCCACTTCAACAGAAACACATAAATGCAATTTTTATTGAGTGAGCAATCAACCGTGCTGATTAATGCACTTATTTTTGCAACAATTTCCCCCAAAACTAATCCTTCTTGGTCCTCCTCCTCTTTTTTTTTTTTACCAATTCTTTTTCATATTATTCCTACACATCACAATAATCTAAGATCCGAAATGAAGAAAAAAAAAGAAAGAAGAAGAAAATAGATTAAATAGGAGGAGAAGGAAAAGGAGGAGAAAAGAGTGGAGGATGATGTTTAACTTTCAAAAACAATAACAGTCAATAATGTTTCTGTAAATTAACAGTTCAGCATCCATCGACAACCTTAACCCCTGTTGGTTGTTTGCCTTTTCACCAACACCGCCATTTCTTCGATCAATTTTGTTTACCAAAGAGAAAACTACACTAAGAAAAATTGAATCAAAAAAAGAAACTAGCTTTATTTGGCAAAACGCCAATAACTAAATTTGCTACCGTAATAACTTTCAAAAAAAAAAAGCATTTCTTGCATAATCTTTTCACTAAATTTCAGTTATCTGCCATTACTGTCGTTAGTATAACCGACGTTGTCGTAGTCAATAATATTATTGTAGAACCAAATATGTTTATTACAATCAAATGAATAAAAAAAAAAACGAGAGTTTTATTGAAGCGGATAAGTGTTCTGTAAATCTCTAGAAAATATCTGCAGTTAAAGCTTTAATTGTTCCCTCATTTAAATTCTGTCCGGCAAATTCAAATCTGATAAGAAGTTTTCTTTCTTTATTTTTACTTCTATTTTATTTTATTTTTTTGCACAACAATCATTGGAGAAAACAGTTACAATAAGAAAAGCACAGCTAAAAATAAAATTTTTTTACAGCTTTGCTAAAAAAAAAATTATTTTATTTTCCTAAATTCAACCTTTTGCGCCTTTTTTTTTTCTTTTTTTGGTTTATAAAATTTAAACGAAAATATTTTTAAAACTTCCTCTTTTGACTTTATTTTTATGTACACCGCTTTTACACCAATAACAAAAAAAAAAAAAACTATATATACAACTAAGCAGACAACAGTAATCAGTGCATATTAATTAGAAGTTTTTCCCTAACTACTTAAGAATAACGGTACAATATCAGTGTTATTGCTAACGTCTACAGACTTTTGTCTCCTTTTCTAGAATTCCTTTCACTGAAAATTGATTACTGTTTTACAGGGAAGATAAAATAGTGTTGAAACAAACGATTTAGCCTTATACACTTTCGATTATAAAAAAAATAATTTAGTGATAATGACGAAGGTGATAAAAAAGAAGAAATTTCAACCAAATATAATTTGTTGTTTCCACTAAATAAGAGAAAAATTCTGAATCAATTCAAATAACAGTAACTGTAATATAGCGACAGCAGTAGCAACAGATATTTTTTTACTGTCGTTATTGTTGTTGTTGTTCTGCCGGCAGCTGTCAATAAAAAAATTTGTAACCGTAGAAATGCCGCCGCAAATCTGTTCAGCGGCACCGATATATGGCTGCAATCTACAAATATCCATCGTGGTTCCTTTTTTTTATTTGCTGCTCTGTCCGTTACTTTAAAAGTTTACTCCAAAGATTTTTTGACAAAAAAG